GGACTTAGTAAGAGTTATAACTTCAAGTTTTCTCCCAGGTGTAGTTTTGTTCTCTCTGGGTCAGAATTTTGAAAAGATGTTTTATTAAGCCAGCTGTCTTTTTTGAGGGATTGGGAGTGGAATTAGGTTTTTTTGTTTGTTTTAATGGAAGTAGTGGGGATTGAACCCAGGACTTCGTGCATGCCAAGCACACACTACCACTGAGCTATACCCTCCCCACCTCAAGCCAGCCTTCTTTAACTGCACATGCTAAAACCAGTTTTGGAATGTCAAAAGAACTCCATTCTGGCCATTTTAGGGTTAGATAACTACTTGCAAGTATTGGCTTGGTAACAATTATCCATGAGGCCAGCAGGAGTTCCAGTGGGTGGGCAGTTCCAGTAGGTAACTATCTGGGAGCTGGTAGGCTTTAGAAGCATCATTTCCCACGTTTTTTGGTTTTGGTTTTTTTTTTTTTTTTACAGTTTCATTTTATGATAAAGTATAAACCTTTCCAATTTTAAGCCACATTAAAAAAAAAAAAGTCAGTCAACCTAGTTCACTCCAGAGTTCCTTCTAGCCCTTTCCTGCCTAGAAATTTCTTCTAGGTCCTTTGCCTAAAAATTCCACCTAGGTCCCTGCCTAGGAATTTCCCCCAGGTCTTCTGCCAAGGAATTCTCCCTAGGTCCTTTTCTCCTGGGTGATGAACTGTTACCCATTTAAAACTCCAAATCTTAAGATAACAGCTCAAATAAAAGTCATGGACCATCACTTAATAAAAGGATATCTAGATAGCAGGAAAAAGTCACCGAAGCCCCTGAAGAGTGCTGTGAAGCCCAGGAGGGATGGTGGGGCAGCAGAAAGGGGAGTCCTCAGAGGGCTTGGTACCAAGTGCCAGTATAAAGTAGAATCCAAGCTGTTTTAGTTAGCATAAAATTCAAGTTAAATAAATCATCTATAAGCCAGGATGACTTCCCCACACCTCAATATGTGAAAACTTCCATTAGAATGTTGAAAGAAATTGCCAGTGGGGGCAAAACTGATTTTTTTCCACAAGGAAAGGAGGGAAAACAATCAAACGTCTATCAGACCAATCAGAAATTGCTTGCCCATCAATTACTTACAGCTTACAGAATTGTGAAATAGTTCCCATTTCAATTTGAATCGGCTAATTAAAGGAAGAGTGTGCCACAGGCACGTTTTTCTCTACACATAGCAGTCTTGAAAACATGGGTGGGCTTATGGAATTTTTTTAGTTTATTTAATGTAATTTTTTTAAAAGAAAGATATCCCTCCCAAATTTTTAAAAGGACCATTGCAAAGCACTTTGAAATATTAACATCCCCTGAAGTGCTTGGTAGGTGATTTGGTTTGCCAGCACATTTTAGAAACACGTGGTTAATGTGAGGCATACCTGGCTCCTGTTTCTCCACCATATTTGACCTAATTAATACTGTCCTTCTTCCCATTGTTTAATCAATCCTCTTTTTCAAACCTAGGCACAGAAGCTACCTGTACTTTAACAGCCATCAAACTGCAGAGTCTCTAGGTGGTTACTGAGATAGCAAGCTTCAGGGATAAATTTCTTCTCACCTTCTGTTTCCATGGAGTTGAGAGCCATTGAGGCCAGAGTCATTGCTGCTGGGCAGGACTGGGCAGGACTGGGCAGGACTGGGCAGGGCTGGAGCTGACGGCACAGGTAAGGTAACAACAGCCACTTGGGCACCTTCTCTGGGGCTGCCTCCTACATCTCCTTCCCATAGTCCACACCCCTGTCACCTGATGCTGCAGCTCTGCACTGGCCAGGACAGTGATCACATAGACCTAGTTAAATTTACACTAAATAGAAATCCAGTTCCTAGTTGTAGTACCCACATTGCAGATGCTCAATACCCACATGTGGTTAGTGGCTACTGGGTCAGATAGTACAGATACCAAACATTTCCATCACCGCAGAGAATTCTCTGAAACAGCACTGCTGTAGATGACCACTCCCTCCCTCCATCTCAGATTTCTCTCCCATTCCTTTTTCTGCTTGCCATGCTTATTCCAAAAAAAAAGTCAAGTGTCTGACAAAGACTCTTTGATCAAACTCTAGTTAGGCTCCTCTGAGCCCTATTCTCTATTAAGCCTCAAACTTGGGTTTCTGTATCTGTCCTTGCTAAGTCCAGTTTTAGCAAAAATCCTAAATCAGTTTAGAGAGGATTTTGCACCCTTGGTGTTTGATCAGTCCCTAGCCTGACCTCAACAAGAATCCTATTAAGTCCATTTGGTAAGAATCCCCCCTTACCCTTGATTTCTTCTCTTAGTAACTTTCCATCCACTAACCCCCTCACTTTGCTTGATGGCTGTAAATTCCCAGTTGCTTATTATATTTGGAGTTGAGCACATATCTCTCTCCCCTGGTGTAATGTTCCTATAGCATTAGTCCCAAATAAAGTCTTCCTTACCATTTTAACAGGCTTCAAAATAATTTTTTCTTTAACACCTCTTCTATGAAACCTTCCTTCTTGCCCCAAGGAGAAATTAATTCTGTCCTATCTTAGCAACATCTCAATTCCTCTTCTAAAGCCAATATCATGTGGTATTATACTCATTCATGTATCTGTCTTCCCTTTTGGATTACTGAACTCTCATGAAAAGTGTAGTTGAGTACAATGATTAACAGTGCACCTGAGTCAATATGCTGGGCTCAAAGCCTTCTAATGGCACTTAGTAGCTGTGTGAGGTTGGCAGGTAACTTTGTCTCTAAGCCTCCATTTTCTCATCTGTAAAATGGGGATAATAAAGGTGCTCCTTTTATAACGATTAAATGAGATAACCCACTATATCAGACAGAGGGTAACTACCTCAAGCCCCAGTCTCTGTTTGCCTCCATACCTACCAGTTAAAGACAGAAGTAGAAGATTTTCTCTGTAGGTCTAAATATCAATTCCTATTTCTTCAATATCCAGTTATAAAAAGTTGTACTTGCAGCCTTCCCTTGACACTTCTATTGGAAAGAAGTCACACTGATTAATCTTTTTTTTTTCATTCTATGTAGTCAAATTAAGCTCCCCAACACATCAACAAAACACCCTGTTGATAAGACATAACTGAGTTTATTCTTATTGCAGTGAGGAAGAATACCACCTTGGCAGAGCTGTAGTACTAGCCCAGAGGTGGTAGGACAACTGACAATCCGAAGAACGAATGGTTGGGTGCAGGGGTGTCTTTCAATGTGGAAGCAGGAGTTGGTTAGAATTGGGCAAGGGTCATGATATAAAGTTTAGGATTGGAGGACACAGCAAAGCAAGGATTTTGAGGCCAAGGGTTCTAAGAGTCTTGGAGTGTACAGAACTGTCAGCAATGCTTTCTATTGAAGAGTTGATGGTTCTTTCAGGAAGTTCCTAAAATGAGTAATGGGTTTATTTGCATTTTTAACTTCCAGGCAAGAGTGTTAATAGTTGTCATGTTTGTGTAGACAGTAAACTGTGTGTGTGTAGGAGGTGTCAGTTCTCGTGCTTTTTAAAAAGCTAAAAAGTAAAATTAATGGAAATATTTCCAGGATTTTGAAGTCACTTATCCCTGTAGACTGAGTTTAAAATGGAAGCATATTATTTTATTAACTCAGAAAGTGAGATGAACTTTCAACAGAAGCCCCACTCCTAAGTTTACTCATTTTTTCCCACTAACCTTTATCTCAGCAGAGTGCAACCAGTCTTGTGAGAAGGCAGAATTAAGAATGTTCATTCTCCTGCCTGAAACCTCAAGTGGCCTTGGGGGCAAAAATTCCCTGGTTAGATGGCATGGAAAATTTTCTTTCCAGATTGAGACAGATGCTACCTCTTGGAGAAGGGACACTTCTGAATTTAATCGTCCATAGATAGCACATGCAATATTAAGAAATAATTATTCTGACACTTGTTAAAACAGTATGACAGACTTGATCCAGGATTATTGCAGTAGGGACGTTACAACAGGGGAGAGAGACTGCACTCAACTTCAAATACAATGAGGACAAGTGACTGGAAAAATCACTGAGAGGAGATATCACAGGTTGGGGGATTGTTGCTAAAGCAACACAGGATTCTTGCTGAAGGCAGGTCAGTGTTTGATCAGATATCAAGGATGGGGAATTTTCTCTAAACTGACTCAGCAGAATTCTTGATGAGTTTATTCTTACTCCATTAGGAAGCCCACTACTGGGGGAGGGTATAGCTCAGTGGTAGAGTGCTTACCTAGCATGCACAAGGTCGTGGGTTCAAATCCCAGTACCTCCACCAAGAGATAAGTAAATTAAAAGACCTAATTACCCTCCCGAAAAAATAAAACAAAACAGAAAGAGCACTACTTAGACAGAATTAAGACTAAAGAATAATTTCTTTTTAGAAGGGGAATGATAAAACACAAAAAGTGGGGCACCCAGGGAGATTGCTGGAGAGCGCAAGTGGGAGGCATGATTAAATGCAAAAGGGATTCTCATTTATGATACTCTTAGTGAAGTGTTACGTGGAGGCAGGAGAAAAATAAAGATGACCTCTCAACGGCCCTTCAAAAGTATGGAGCTTTCTCCTTCAGGACTGAAAAAAATACAGGATTTTTTTAGAAAACCAAAACCTAAATAAACGGCTCGTTCAAAGGTAAGAAATAGGCTCCTTTGGATGTGACCGCTGCTCCAGACTGGGGGAAACCCTAAAGAGCAGCGTAACAACGCCGGGTCCCAGTCAGCTGTGCACTACGTGTCCCTACAAGCACCGCGGTGAGGGCGGGGCTTGCTGGCCGTTATGACCTGGTGGGCGGGGCCAAACGGTACAGCTTCCCCGTTGGGTTTTTCGCCCCGCCCCTGTCCCCTTCTCCGCCCTGTTGCCGTTGCGCCGCCGCCGGCTGCAGTCCCCCGGTGAGTCCTGGAGTGAAGGCGGGCAGTTAGGGACAGTTGGGCCGTCGGGTTCTCCGACTTCACATTTCACGTCCTGAGAAAGGATCATGGACGGTTGGAGGTGCGGCCGGTTTCGGTTTTCATCCCCTTCCATCTTTCTAGGGTGACAGTAAGTGGGAGTGGCGTCATGGAGCCCCGGGAGCCCCCTCCCCGGCCGCGGAGGACTGAGGGCAGTTTTCTCTCGAGGAGGGCAAGGCTTCAGTGCCAGGGCTCGGGTGGAAGGCTCCTGGGGCGATGAGTGTCTTGACGTCACGCCTCATGCCCCCTCTCGCGGTCCGAGGTCGTGCTGCTTCCTTAATCCCTGTGCTTGACGTCATCGCTGTCTGCTTCCAGGCCGAGGCGGGAAGCAGAGCGCCCAGTCACCCTAGGCAAGTTACTTTCTCTTTGGACCTCAGTTTCCCTGTCTTGATGATCCCTGAAGCCCCTTTCCTTGAGTAGAGGCCGTCTCTAATTGGGGGAGATGTTCTAGACAAAGAAAGCTGCTGAATGTAGTGACCTGCTTCTTTACCGTTGGTCTCCCTTAGCCCCTCCCCACCGCCACCATCAGCACAATGTGTTTGGGAGGAGGGGGCTAATGTCCCTACTCTCATGATTTCAACTCCTCCTGAGCATGTTAACTTTTTTCTGCCACTTGGATTCTTTGCTCCTGATGTCAGCAGCCAACAGGTGGCCATGATTGGTGCTGAGTAGAATAATACGGATGCTATATATTATAACATACTCACTATTGCAAAAACCGTTTAAAGTGAAGGGCTTTAAATGTAGTAGGTCTTTGTAGATTATGTAGAGCAGATGTTTAAGGAATATCCAGGTGACTCGCTTTCAGGTATTTTGAGAGAGCTACTACCTGAAACTCTACACTTTTGCAGACATGACAGCTGTGGAGTGGAAAGAACCCTGAGAAAGGTAGTCAGTAAGAGTTATGTAGCACTAACAAGTCATGTTGTCTTTGGAGTCAGTACAAAACAGGGCTCTTTAAAATTTTTGGCTGTGCTTATTAATATAATACCATGGTTTCTCATTTTCTTAGATGAAAAGAAATGCTTTCACTTCCTTTTTCCTTCACTTGGGATCTTATAGCTGGAAAGTTTCTTAGAGATTTTCAAGCCTGATCCATGCATTTTACTGATGAGGAAACAGATCTAAACGGAGGCAGTGTGACTTGGCAGAGACCTCAGAGCTAGTTAGCGACAGAACTAAGACAGGTACCCAGGTCCCTTGGCTCCAAGCCTAGTCCCCTTTCCACTGTGCTTCGAACACTGTCACTATCCATGTCGCTTCAAGAGTTAACTCTCTCATGGAAAAAGTATAAAATCTCAGTAGAGTAAAATGGAATAAAATGAAGATTGAGTACACAGTTTTGAGCTTTTCACACAGCTCCTGCTGGTTGCTGCATCTCATGTCCCAGAACTATTTTTCTGCCCTTCCTTAGTACTGTTGGCCCTGTGGTGGTGTGGGATGTGGTGGGATGAAGGCTGCTTGGAACAAGCTGGGCGGCTAATCCAAACAGTTGCTAACGAGTGGTATGGAAGGTCTCCTGGGGGTATAAAATTTATCTAAGGCACTCTGAAAGATTTTACGAACTAGAATGAATTTGAAAAATTTGGATTAGATTGAGTGGCTCTGATAATTTGAGGACGAGTGACATTGTGTCATTGCTTTTGCTTCCCATCTCAGGACCATCTACATATCCATAGTATTGATTGTCAGTGTTCTCTGAAGGGTAGTTCTGGGGGAGCATCTCTTCCAGGGCCAGGGAGGAGTGGGATTCAAATCAGTTCATCCATTTTGCTAACTGCTAATAGTTTAGAAAGTTAAGTAAGCAGAAGGATGAAGGAATTAGATTGAATGTGGGTTTAGTTTTTACTTATCTTTTTCACCGTTCCCAAATGAAGAACTGATTTGCTTCTCTCTCTTGGCTGAGCATTTGGTTTCCTTCTGTGAACTGATACCAACTGTCTATAGTCTTCATTTCTCTTGAAACATATGCCCACTGGTATAAAAGGCTAATGTAAAACTATTGGACATTCTTTATGGTAGAATTTTATTTTTTATAAGGTTATTCCTTCCTCGTGGTTCAGCATACATGAGGGAAAATCTTTAGGAAAATTGGTGAGTCACTTTGGTTGAATATTTGCATTGTTAGGATCTGAACCAGGAAGCTTAAGAACATTTTTCAGTTTTTCTGCTAAAAAGTGTATCAGTGTAGTTTGCAGATTCATTCAACAAAGAGCAGAATTAGAACTGGCTGTTTGTTCCTTTTCTTCTAAGAGAATCTACGCTCCCATGGAACAGTCCTGGGAGTAGTATATTAGACTTGAAAAGCTCATTAGATGAAAATATGTCATGTTTTCTTAGAAGCCAGGAGCCAGTTCAGGGAACTCATTTTAAAATACGTTGCCTATTATCGCCTGCCTCCTCTGAGGACCCTAATAATTTTGGAAGAGGAGTAAATGGCCTCTGACAGTCTGTGGAATCTCTGCATTCCTTTCCCATGCTTGATGGTTTGTTTTTAAAAATCCGTGTTTGTTTTCTCTGGCCACTCCTTCTGTGGCCAGTCTTTGACCTGAGGATAGGAGTAAGGAATTAGGTGGAATACTATTCTGTGATTTCTAGGGAGCCAATTCATCCCACTGCTTTTTCATGACTCAGTAACTCTCTCAGCTTCTAAATTTAACTTTTGCTCTTCTTATATTTCTTCTCTCTTCCTTGCCTCTATGGATGTTGCCAGAATTAAAAGTGGATGATGGACAGGTTCTGTAATGGGAAGAGTGGTTCAAGGAAAGGGAAGTTGATGCTTAAATCATTCTAATTTTCCTTCCACATCCGTCCTGCCCCCCTTCCCCCCCACAACAGACATTTATAAACTGCTTTGTCAGAAAGGCAATTTCCCAAGCCATTGTTGGAGCCTCCTTCTCCCAGGGAATTTTATCACTGGGAGGGAGGACAAGCTTTAAGGATCACTGACCTTAAAAATCAGTAGATACCTTCCTTCTAGGAAAAGCTGAAGGAAGTACCTCCTCACTGACCCAGTTCAGATTGCTATAGTTATGTTGGAGGTTTCCCCATGACCTTTCTGTCCTGAGTTTTGGTAAGAAGCAGAGAAGAGAAGCCACTGCTGTTCTCCTCAGCCTCCCTCCTCAAACCCTTCCCTGGTCTTGGCAGAGGAGAGTTTTTTTAATTTCAAAAATGATTGAGTTCTGAATACCCAGAGTGCCACCAGGTGCCCTCTGAATCCTTCTGGGAAGTGATGAGATCTCTGAAATGGGAAACTTCATGGAGTCTCTTAAATTTTTGATAAGCATCTAACTTTCCCAGGTAGATAATTAAGTTTTCAGATAAATGAAGATCAAATTTCCATGGACTATACACTCAAGGCTCAGAACATGAGCTCTTTCTTGTCATTTTGTGTATATATGCTGTCCTTTCTTCAGTGTTCTGTTCAGGAGCCAACTTATAGATTGTTTTTCTAGAAAATAAAGAGAGGCTGGACCAAGCTCCCCTACCCTTAGCTGGTCTTGCCTTTCAGCGTAGCATACAGTTTGCAAAACAGCTTGCCAGAGTTTGAGTGTGTGAAATATGGGCAATGGAGTGTGAATTTTATGGGTCCTTGAGGAGATCAAATCTATGCCTTTTGTTTAGCACCATGCTACATGAACCAGCTCTGCCAGCTGAACTAGCCGTACCAAGAACTGACATAGCACTTGGAGATTATCATCGCCTCACCCTGCTTTAGAAAAGAGAAAGCCAAGAAACAGCAGCTTCTCCTGATTTATCCAACAAATTAAGAGCAGGGCTAAAAATATTAGCCCCAGCATCATTCACACCATTGTTTACCTATAAGGCCCTTTCCTTTCACTTTTTGATGAATTGCATGCATATCTTATTAACTCATTTATTCAGTGAATACTTAACCAGCCACTACTATGGGCCAGGCATTATGTGGTATATATAGTGGTGGTCGTGTTCTGAAGGAAAAGAACAGGGAGTATGGTACTTAGGTTAATTAAGAAACAGGCCCTGAAGTCACTCTTACTAGTGTTCTCATGATCCATAGTCAAAGGACAGATTAAGTCAGTTTACACACCCAGATTAATGGTGCTTGAGGCGTAGGACAGAGAAGCTGTGCCGGCCTCAGTGTGACTGAAGACCGCTAGGAAAGACAGGCGTCTGCAAGCTGAGAAACGTCCCTGCCCACGCTCCCACAGCATCCCACAGATCAGCAGGCAACAGCTTATCATGAGGAACAAGTCCTGGCCTAGAGTGGAATGTGACCTCTCCCTTCCTCAGAAACACGGATCTGAGGTTTGAGGTTGAGGATGTGGCTAAACTGTGTCACAGACCAGAAAGCCAATACATTTCTCAGTTCCTTAGCTCAAGCCCAAGAACAGAGAGTTCAGTGCCTCAAAGTCCCCTTGCCTTCTCTGTGAAAAATTTGTCTTCTGTGCAAGTTGGAAGAAGAGGAACGGTTGCTTAGAGTTCAAAATAAAACCAGGAAATAAGGGGGTTGGGGCAGAGCTAGAAGAGCTACTGTGTTTTGGGGTTATTGCACTGACTGTATTTTTAATTGTGTGTGTTTGTGTGTGTGTGTGCAGTCTTCCAGCATGTTCCAGCAGCTGAATTTGTAAGGTACCGTGTAGTGTTTGCGTATGTACAGCTCTTCCTTCATCTGGTATAGAGTTGCAATATTGTTTTCATTTCCTGGTAAAACTGGATTGAGAAACATAGATTCACTCAATGTTAGACGAGGGAGGCATTTCCAAGACAAGGCATGTTACTTTTGAGGGGCAGGAAGTGTCAGGTCCCAACAGTTTGAAAGACTGTTTCTTTTATGTATTGTTTTTACCTCCCAAATAGTTCCCCTACCTTTGGTCACATTTTGTCTGAACTATGACCTAGAAAGGTGAAATACAGATTTTACAGATAGGGATCCAAACTTGCTTGCAGTCCTCTGAACATGGGCTGCATTTTTCTGTTTCTTTGCTTTTATGCATGTTGTTTCATTCATCTGGAATTTCCTCACCCCCAAACCCACTATCAAAATCCTAATCTTCCTCAAGGGTTTATCTTGGATTCTACTCACTCCTCAAAGCTTTTCTTCATTCCTCTAACCAGATGCATCTCTCCCTCTTTTGAACCCAATAGCAGTTTACACTTATTCCAAACATTTGGCAGTCACTAAAATTCTCATCTAACCTCCATGTTGGACTGGGACCCTTTTGAAGGCAAAGACAGTGCCAGAAAAGAAAAAAAAAAACAATAAGTAATAATCACTAACATCTGTTAAACCCTTTCTTTATGCAGACTTTGTGCAAGTACTTTATTCTGTCATCAGCATGACTTGACTTTGTGTGAATTGCCTACTCTATGGCAAGTACTGATTTAAGGACTGGACACTGTACATTGCAGGCATGCCTCATTTTATTGCACTTCATAGGTACTGTATTTTTTATAAATTGAAAGTTTGTGGCAACCCTACATTGAGCAAGTCTGTTGGTGCCATTTTTCTCATAGCATTTGCTCACTTCATGTCACTCATGAATAATTCTCACATAATAATGCGAATAATAATGAAGAATTCATGGTAATTCTCACAGTATTTCACACTTTTTCATTATTATTATATTTGTTATGGTGATCTGTGATCAGTGATCTTTGATGTTTTACTATTGTCATTGTTTTAGCATTTGTTAGCAATAAAGTGTTTTTAATTAAGGTATGTACTTTTTTTAGACATAACGCTATTGCACACTTAGTAGACTATAGTATAGTGTGAACGTAATTTTTATGTGCACTAGGAAACCAAAAAACTTATGTAATTTGCTTTATTGAGATATTTGTTTTACTGAGGTGGTCTGTAACTGAACCTACATATCTCTGAGTTATGCTAGATTTCAGTTAATGCTCACAAAAAAACAAATGAGGTAGATGTTATTAGTCACATTTTACAGATGAGGAAACATGCACAGAGCCCAGTTAAGTAAATTACCCAAGGTCGTGCATTTAACAGGTGTTGAAGCTAGAATTTGAACTCCAGCATTTTGATTTCAGAACCTGTGCTTGTCACCCCTGCAAGTCAAGAATCTCCTCACATCTTGATCTCCCTTTCTGCACCCATCCCCACCTCCTAGCAGAGTGCCGTAATATATGGAAGGACCAGATAATTATAGGATAGATGGAATTGAACGGAGAGGCTGAACTCTATAGAGAACTTGACATTCCAAAAGTCACAAGGCTTGTTGGGATGAAAAATCTAGAATCTAGGTCTTACAGTTCCCAGCTCAGGCCATTTACCTCTGGGCTGCCTTACTTATTTAAGGCACTAGAAGAAGGGAGGCAAACTAGCTATGAGCAGAGGATCAGGGTATGTGAGGGTGGTGGTGGTGCCTGTGGTGAATATGTCAGAGATCGTCTCAGAAGATGCTTATAGAATAGGAAGCTATGAATGCAAAATGGCTCATAGTGAAACAGAAAGCAAGTTGTGTGATCTCAGTACTTACCAGGCTTTGGCTTTTCCTGACTTACCCTGAATGGAATGTTCTCTGGGTGAGAGCCCAGAAATGTCCAGTATTTCGGACAATCCTTGAGCCTTACTGAATCCCATGTCTCATAACAGGATCCCCACCATGGAAGAGACAATAGAAGATCCCCCCACATCAGCTGTCTTGCTGGACCATTGTCATTTCTCTCAGGTCATCTTTAACAGTGTGGAGAAGTTCTATGTCCCTGGAGGGGACATCACGTGTCGTTACACCCTCACCCAGCATTTCATTCCCCGTCGAAAGGATTGGATTGGCATCTTTAGAGTAAGTGGTTAATTTAGTACCAAGTGACTCAGAACTAGAGGTGAATCGTAGTTACCTGAGTGTGTGACTATCCTTGTATTATAAGCATTTTGCATGTATATCTGGCCAATGTGAAAATCCTAAACTAACCTCCTTAGCATTTCCCCCTTTACACACCAACATGTGCTGTGGCACTCAAAGTTTAATCTCATTCTTAAGCTAAAATAAGATAGCAAATCATAAAATCCCCAAGTTGCTTTATACTTTCATAGACCAAATATAATTTTTTTTAATTATCCAATTTTGAAATACTTACTTGACTGGTATAGGTGGCCCCTTACATAATTTCTGTGAATTTAAACATCACTTTCTTACTTAATACAGTGTTTAATTTATTTTAATATGAGTATTACAAATCTGGAAAGATGTTGAAAAACTACCTTGTTCAACATCCAAGAAGTTTGTTCCTGAATAAGCGTGTCTTGCTTCTTTGTGAAGGTTTCCGAGAACAGAAAGTTTACAGGCTCCCTTGGCGACCTCTTCCAGTGTCTGCTCACTCTGTCAGTTCAAGTACAGAAATGGTACTTTTTTATTATAGCCAACTTACTCTCTACCTCCCCACGTCCCTGCATCTGTGTCTCTGTCTCTGACATCACACACACACACACTCACACACTTATACTTTCACACACCCTAATGACAAATCTCCCTATTTCCAGAGACAAGATAAAGGTCAAATTAAGTAATTTACAATGCTGAGTCCCAACATCAGTGACCTTTGTTTCGACACCTCAGTATGTCATGTGCTTGTTGGCCTACGCTGTTCATCCTGAAATTAGACATCATTCTTGACTGTACTGTGAAGGAGCTGGTGCACATTCACATCCCTCACTGAATTCCTTTTCTTTGATTGTTTGGAATTCCAAGCTAAGTGGCAGAGCGATGGAAGCTGGAGGGAACGGGGCTGGTGTTTAGAGGCGGGGCTAGTAGACAACTGGAGGGACACTGGCAGGTGTCATGACAGCTCCTGACACTGCAGGCGATTGAGTCATTAGACTAAAGCTGTTCTAACACAGAAAACTGACATACCAGAATGTTTTCTGTTTTGGAAAGATGATAGTTGTTTTTCTCTTCCCTGTATATAGCAAAGCTGTCCAATAGAACTATCTATGACCAACACTAGCCAGTAGAACTTTCAATGATCAAGTTACATCTTTGCTGTCCAGTACAGTAGCCTCTAGGCACATGTGGCTAATAGCACTTAAAATGTGGCTAGTGTGACTAAGTAACTGAGTTTTAAATTTTACTTAATTTTAATTCATTTTAATTTAAGTAGCCTCATGTGGCTCATGGCTAGCATATTGGACAATGCAGGTATAGATAATTTTAAAAGAATGATTCAAAATTACGTATGTTTTGAAATGTAATCTAACTTTTTTTGCAATGCAATCATATTTCCATTTTGCTCAGACTAATTGTTTGTAAATCTCCAAGCCCTTAGCAACTTGCAGTGAGGACTTCACTTTAAACCAAATGAAAATCTTTCGCTCTTTAAAAACAAATGTTTAGGAGGCAGGGTATAGGTCAGTGGTAGAGTGCACGCCTAGCATGTGTGAGGTCCTGGGTTCAATCCCCAGCACCTCCATTAAAATAAATACATACATAAAAACCTAATTACCCCCCCCCAAAATTAAAATTAAAAATGTTTAAAAGCATTTTAAAAAATATTTGAAATACTTCATGCATTTCAACGGTATTGCCATGCCACTGTCGTGGTTAGTCCAGAGAATGCCCTCTGATATTCTTTATCCATAAAGCTATTGATTTGAACACCACCCAAAGCCTGAAAGAAAATTTTAAGACTGATAAGGAAAGAACACAACCTTTTAGAGAATATACAGTGTGCTAGGTCTTTGATGAGTTTGTGTGTGTGTCTGTGTATGTGTGCCTGTGTGTCTGTGTCTCTGACCGTGTTTCCTAATTTCATCCTGACAGCACAGCAGCGCCCTGGGGTAAGCAGTATTACCGCTTGTGCACAGATGAATACAATGAGTATACTCAAGATGGGGACTTCCCCAAGATCTCCCAGTGGTTAAGCAAGTTGGTTTGACTCCCAGACCTCTGTTTTTCTTCCCCTTTTCTGCTGAATTCCTTTGAACAACAGATGGTGAATTAGACAATTAAGGGTTGAATGTGGAGTTCTGGCCTTCCTATCTAAAGTGCTCCCAGGGTTCCTTCAGTGTTGTCTTCATCACAGTCCTCAAATCCTTATCTCCCCTAACGCTGCCAGTAATTCCTGCCTCCAGGTAGGCGCTCCTGAGGTGTTTCTGAATGTGCAGCACTACATCTTCTCCATACAGCGAAAGCCACCACCAGTGACAAAGCCTGGTAGGAGTCAGCTTTGCTTCCTTCAGTGTGTAGCCCCGTGGTCCGTCACCTGGGCATTTACGTGTTCCAAGATTTCAGGGAGGGGAGACAGCAGACTGCAAGAGGCAGACTGGGACAACCCCGATGGAGGAGCCAAGGACAGAAATTGCAGGTGGCTAGAAGTTGTTTCCTTATTCCAAGGCAGCAGTAATTCTCAGGCCTTCCCAGATGATATTTTGGTCACAGTACATTAAGAAACTCCAGGATGTGAATGAAGACTCTATAAAATTTCTGCTTCCTGTTCCACCACAGGCTGCCTTGGCTCTGAGATGCTTACAGCAATGGGGTGTATATTAATGAGACACTAAAACATGCCCTGGTATGTTCAGCTTTCAGTGTCGCCTTTTCAACCCTGCTCTGATTCCTCAATATATAAGCATAGAATTTATTTTTAGTTCTTTTCTCTTCCCACTGGGTTCAGGCAGGGTCAGAACATGGCAGTGAATGTAATTTTGCTTCTCACTTGGTGAGTGTTCTCCCCTTGAAGACACAACATCTCCCTTTTTATTCTCTGGTGGGCTCTTATCTTCCAGAAATGATTTGAGCCATCTTTTACCTCTCTTCGTATTTAATGAGAATATTTTCCACTTAGCCAGCTTTCTGCTCTGGGGCATATTTTACAGTATCCTTATGTTTTATGACTTACTGTATTTTGTACCTAGAAGAGGCCTTTATGACTACCAGATTGTTGTTATCTTTACCACCAAAACGCTTTCACTAAGCAGGCATTAAGAAAAACACTGAATGGACAGCTACATGTAAAAGAATGAAATGAGAACATGGTCTAACACCATATACTAAAATAAACTCAAAATGAATTAAAGACCTAAATGTAAGGCCGACTACTATAAAACTCCTAAAGGAAAACAGGCAGAACACTCTGTGACATAAACTGCAGCAATATTTTTTTGGATCCATCTCTTAAAGCAAAGGAAACAAAAGCAAATATAGACAAATGGGACATAATTAAACTTACAAGCTTTTGCACTGCAAAGGAAACCATCAACAAACACAAAGATATTTACAAATGATGGACTAATAAAGGGTTAATATCCAACATATATAAACAGCTCTACACAACTCAACATCAAAAAAACAAATAACCCAATTTTAAAAATGGGCAGAACTAAACAGACAGTTTTCCAAAGAGGAAATGTAGATGGACAACAGGCACATGGAAAAATGCTCAACATCGCTAATGAGGGAAACACAAACCAAAACCACAATGAGATATCACCTCATACCTGTCACAATGACTGTCATCAAAAAGAATACAAATGACAAAACATTGGCGAGGATGTGGAGAAAAGGGAGCCCTCGTATGCTGTGGGTGGCAATGTAAATTACTGCAGCCACTGTGGAAAGCAGTATGGAGGTTTCTCAAAAAACTAAAAACAGAACTGCCGTATGACCCAGCAATTCCATTCCTGGGTACATATCCAAAAAAAGACAAAAACACTGATCTGAAAAGGTACATGCACCCCAGCGTTTGTTACTATTTACAGTTGCCAAGATATGCAAGCAACCTAAGTGTCCATCAACAGAGGAATGGCTAAAGAACATGTAATATATATATGTGTGTGTGTGTGTGTGTGTGTATACACACACACACACAGTGGAATACTATTCAGCTTTTAAAAAGAATGAAATTTTGCCATTTGTAGCATCGTGGTTGGACTTGTAGGGCATTATGCTAAGTGAAATAAGTCAGAGAGAGGAAGACAAATACAGTATGATATCTCTTATATGTGGAATCTAAAAAATACAACAAACTAGTGAGTAAAACAAAATGGAGGCAGACTCACAGACACAGAGAACAAACTGGTGGGGAGAGGGAAAAAAGGAAGGGTAATGTAGAGGTAGGGGAAAAAAAGGGTTATGGGATTACATGAAATCATGTTTGTGAAACTTGAAAATTGTAAAGCACCGTAGAATTTAAAGAATCATTCAATTTTTAAAAATAAACATTAAAAAAGAAAAACACTGAAGAAAGAAAACTATATAGGCTGGACTCAGATATCTGGTTACCTTATAATCTAAGAACTCTCTTGCCGTCCAACCCCAACACACATTATTTAAAATTATTATTTAAAATGCTTTTTTAAATGCAATAATATAATCAGGTTGATATAGGTGACAAGACTGAATTGGATAAGGGAGAGGACAAACCAATGGAAACCAAGATCAGAAGTGCTTTCTGATTATGATGTTCTTATATTGTTTGTTTTCTGAGGGGGTGTAATTAGGTTTCTTCATTGATTTCTGCTTGGAGGAGTTACTGGGGATTAAACCCGGGACCTCTTGCATGTGGAGCATGCACTCTATCACTTGAACTATAGCCTTCCCCTTGATTAAGATGTTCTAAGAACACTGTTATAAGAAGATAGTGGGGTCAAAGTTCACATTCCCACAAATTCTTTCCAACCACTCTCACTTTAGTATCTGAATTGGAGATGGAATTTTTGGAATTCTTGTCCTGGGTGTTGAATGGCCAGTTTTTGTTTCCTTCTCAGACAAGTAATATGGACTGTGTGTGTGCATACCAATTTTTAATCATATACATAGTTATCATAAGAACTAAACAGACATTTTTCCAAAGAGGAAATGTAGATGGACAACAGGCACATGGAGAGATGCTCAACATCGTTAATCATCAGTTACATCAAAAAACAAGATTTGATCAATGGTGGGTAGATCTTGTCATAATGAACTCATTTGATTGTAATTTCAGTGTAAACAAATATTAAGAAGACATAGTCAAAATAAGAAGAATCCACTGAGCACTTTCAGACACTGAACAAGAGCCCCTTTTCATTGCAGGTGGGATGGAAGACAACCCGTGAGTATTACACCTTCATGTGGGTTACTTTGCCCGTTGACCTAAACAGCGAATCAGCCAAACAGGAGGAAGTCCAGTTCAAAGGTGAGAAAAATACTGGATCAAAGGTATTGAAGACCGGGGTGGATATAGCTCAGTGGTATACAGCACGGGCTTAGCATGCAGGAGATCCTGGGTTCAATCCCCCACGCCTCCATTAAAGAAAAAAGGTACTGAAACAGTGGCCAAGACTAATTAATTCCCTTGAGCTTGAGCTTTCTGGAGCAGATGAAAGACTTTCAGGTTTTTAGTTTTCTGAATAGACCTTATTTTAGATTAAAAATCATGTTCTGTTTTCAGCTTACTACCTGCCCAAGGATGATGAGTATTACCAGTTCTGCTATGTGGATCAGGATGGTGTGGTCCGGGGAGCAAGTATCCCTTTCCAGTTCCGTCCAGAAAATGAGGAGGACATCCTGGTTGTTACCACTCAGGTCTGTAAACATCTCATCTCAGTCTCCTTCTGCCATTAAGAGCAGCAGTTCCAGGGTAGGGTGAAATTCTAGTCAGTAAGCCTTTATTGGATATTTAACACAGATACTATTGGGAAAAACATATACAGTACCCACTCAAACCCAGCATTCCTAAGGGAATGACTTCGGAATGTTAACAAGAATCATAACAGATTTTTCCTTTATCTAAAACTTCTGTAACTCAGTTGGCATTCATTTGTCTCCTTCACTTTTCCAGTTACTTAAGTTTTGTCATCTGCACATCTTATCACCGCAGTCAATTTTATAAGCTCCTTCAAGGAGAAAGGTACCAAATGTTCTTCTTTGTATCTTTTAGTTCTGGCCCCGAGCTTGTCATATATGAACATTAGATTCATTTACTTACTCAGTTATTTACAGGACACCTGCTTCCATCCAGCACTATGGTAGGCACTAGGGATGCAGTGAAGAGTCAATTAAAACTGTGTCCTGATCTCAAGGAGCTAAGTCCAGTAGGAGAAACAAACAGTGTTAACTGTTTGCAAGAAAAAACATTCTTCTATCTTTCCCTCTTTTTTTTTTTTTTGGAGTGGGGAGAGATAATTAGGTTGATTTATGTATTTACTTTTAGAGGAGATGCTAGGGATTGAACCCAGGAACTTCTGCATGCTAAGCATATGCTCTACCACTTGAGCTATACCCTCCCCCCTTATCATTCCCTCTTTTAAGTTTTTGTGGTCTCATTTTTTAAAAAAAATCTTTCTTTCTTGGTAACGGCAGGCTTAGTGCTGCAGTTTTATAGACATACCTCTCTTAACCCCTTCCCTACACACCAAGGAGCTGATTCCGTTTGGGGTACTGTGCTGACAGTGATAGAGAATCCCCCAGACCCTAGCCGTCCCAGCCTCTGGGAATTTTCTGCTGGAGGGACTTGAATATCCACTGAGCTATAAAGGGCCAAATACGAGTTTATAGAATGCTTTTTCGTAGGGTGAAGTGGAAGAGATTGAGGAGCACAACAAGGAACTTTGCAAAGAAAACCAGGAGCTGAAGGACAGCTGCGTCAGCCTCCAGAAGCAGAACTCAGAAATGCAGGCTGAGCTCCAAAAAAAGCAGGTAAGAAGCTGCTTAGAGGTGAACTTGGCGTATGGAGGTTGGAATTGGATGCTGCCTCTTATCCAGCACCATTTTCTGTTTTGCTTGTGATCTTATTCCCTTATAATAATATCTGGCACCGATTTTAGTATGTTAGATATTTCCTTTTCATTGTTTACTTATTGAAATGATATTATAGATATTTGGGATTAAATACATAGATTATGTTTACATATTGAAATGATATAGATATTTGGGATTAAATACATAGGCTATTAGTAAAATTAATTTCATCTATTTCTTTTACTTGTTTTAATGTGGTTATTAAAATGCTTTAATTACATGGGTGGTTTTCATGAATTTATTGGACAGCACTCTTTTAAGAGAAAAAGCAACTTTATTTCATCCAGTGTTGTGTTTGCAGTACCAGAACGGTGTTTGGTACATAATAGGCGCTCATTAAACATTTGCCTAGTGAATTAATGGACAGATAGAAGCTCCAGTAGAAGAGAAATTAAGGTAGATGCGTTTTTAATATAGGAAGAACAAACTTGAATATTTTAATATGGAAATCTCTTTACTTGGATATTTCATTCACTGCTATGCCTGACAGATAGTAAGTGCTTAAGTATTTGTTGACTGCCTGAGATACTAAACACTGTCTTAGAAATGGTCAGTGTCTTTGACGTTTCCAACTGCAGGAGGAGCTAGAAACCCTGAAGAGCGTCAATAAGAAGTTGGAACAGAAAATGAAAGAGCAGAAGGACTGCTGGGAGACAGAGCTGCTTCAGTGAGTGTGGTCCTTGGATGGGAGGAGGTTTTGTGTTACAGATACCTTTAGTTGGGTCAGATTAGATTTCTAGAATTTGTTAGAAAACAGTCTTCCTATCGTGACAATGATAAGTATGGTTCTCCCTCTTTGACTCATGAACTCTTTGACTCTAGGTTAGAGAATTAGAATGGATAAGGACAAATTACCTGAATTCAAGTGTTACTGTTAAATATTGAATTCTTGCAGTTTGAGGTCAGGAAGCCAAAACAGGACTGAAGAAGAGACTGGTGGATTTTAAATGCAGGCTTAGGGCCAAGGCAGCCTTAAATCATTTAAGGTCTGGAGGAGCTGACCTGGAATTAGCATATTTTTCACATAGTCATCTCCACCTCCACAGACTAAAAGAACAAAACCAGAAGATGTCCTCAGAAAATGAGAAGATGGGAGTCAGAGTGGATCAGCTTCAGGTAGGAAACGCCAAGCCTTTGCCAAAGTATATTTTCTTAGCCTTGCCACCACTCCAACTCCGGTGGCCCAGGAAGATGCAGATCACTGTAGCTAGTGCCTGAGGGTGGACCTTTCAGAGCAGCAGACTACACTTTCAGAGTGTGTGTTTGCCAGTCTTAGCCCCCCTCACCCTTGTTTTGATAGTCACAGTCCCCAGAGAACCGAATCATTTGCTCAGTTTATATTTATCGTGAGCTCTTAAGATGATGACCGGCCTCTATACCAATACTAACTTTTTTCTTTTAACTACAAAATCTTTTCAAGCAAAATCTCACTCAGAAGCCTGGAATGTAAAGCAGGTAGCAGCAGAACTGTTCTCATTTTTAGGAAGCTGGGCCTTAAAGAGGGGCTGTAAAGGATAGTTGCTGAATTTTTCCCACTTGAATCTTAGATTCTTAGAGTGTAAGGTAGAGCTGAAAAGTGCAGAAGTTCTAAGGAGTATTTGGCATTTGGGAATTGCTGGGGGAACACACATCTCTTCATGTTACTCTACATTGTAAAGCATTCCTGTTTAGTTTTTATTCTTTTATATCTTGGTTATATTCACTGTTTCTGCTTTAGGCCCAACTGTCAACACAAGAGAAAAAAATAGAGAAGCTTGTTCAGGAAGTTCAAGATAAGACAGAGCAGCTGGAGCACCTGAAAAAGGAAAATGGCCAGCTCTTTCTCAGTTTGACTGAACAGGTAGAGTCATGGAAGACAATCATACTTTTTAGGCATTTGTGAAAAAATATGTACATTGCTCTTTCTTTATTGTATCATGTACCTGGATATCAGTGGCTCTAGGAAAGGTCTCAGAGGAAGCCATCTGAAGTGAAGAATCTCCTGGCTTTTCTTGGGAGCTAATATGAGAAGACTTGCTTCTCTGCCTCCTGCTTGCTCTTTAGCTCAGCAGGCCCTTCCCCAGTGTGTGCATGCATGTGCCTGTGCGTGTGTGTGTGTTTTCCCAGCAGTGGTACTGAAATCTGTTTTTATGCAGAAGGAGCACCAGAAGAAGCTTGAGCAGACAGTGGAGGAGATGAAGCAGAAAGAAACTGCCGCAGTGAAGAAACAACAGGAATTAACGGCATGTCTGTCTTTGCATGGCTATGTGGGAGGGAGCTAAAGAAAGGAAGGGGTAGGGTCTGTTTTCACGTGGTGGAAAGCATAGGTATGACAGATTAGAATAGCATTTACCTCCAGACTCTTTCTCCCCAAAAGGACAGAGAATCTGCCATTTACACGCTGTTTAGGAAAGATGGGCATTTCTAATGCGTGATGAGTGATAGAGAAATACTGGAAGTTAAACTTCATGACAGGGTGTACTAAATAGAGCCCTGGGCTAGAAATCACACAGAATAACCCCTGCCCCCTCCTTAAGGAGTTACTGATTAATGATTATTAATTGAGCTCTATAATTAGAAAATATTACAGTGATCAAAACAAATTTTGTTATAATTAATATAATGTTAGCAATTATCATCATTATAAATTATTCTGAGCTGTATAATATAGTAATGAAAGCCTAACTGACTAATAATTTCCTATAATATATTGTTAGAAAAGAGGCCTCATAGTGATGACAGGTGCCTAGAAGCCCAGTTTTCTGCACTGATGTAAGGGCGTGAGAAATCCTGATGTGTACTGGGAATGTAACCAATACATGCATCATTTATTCACTCTTAATATTCAGTCAGTTATCGAGTACCTATAATATCTAAGATATTGTGTATTTTAGCATGATACAATAAAGAGTGGGTCCAGCAGAGTATGAAAACCAGCAACTCACAGGTTAAGTATAGCCCACAGAAATGTTTGGCTTTGTCAGTGCTTTCTTAAAAATTGAATTAGTTACCAACACTTAAAAATGGGAATATTTCCCACAAAAAATTTTGTATTTCCAGCTTCTTGAAAAATTAGAGGCTTTGGCAACATTTGATCCCACATTCTCACACAGCAGTAGTACCCGGAGCTGAGTAACTGCTGCCCCTTTAGATGGGTCTTGGTTCTCCATTGGGCTACAGTCCTCACTGTTTCATTGCATTCAGTTCCTTCGTTCAGTTACATTACTTGCTAGGCCCCTATTGGCACTTTTGAGTTTGTGATCTCTTTTTTCTTTTTTTTTTTCTTTTTTTGGCAGAGGAAGGGAGGCAATTAGGTTTTTATTTTTTTAACAGAGATACTGAGGCTCGAACCCAGGACCTCGTGCATGCTAAGCATGTACTCTACCACTGAGCTCTACCCTTCCTCCTGAGTTTGTGGCCTCTGATGTAGCAAAGAAATTACTGTTTTAAATAATCAAGGGAACTATATTCAATATCTTATAGTAACCTATAATGAAAAAGCATATGAAAAAGTGTATATATATATATATATATGCACATAACTGAATCACCATACTGTACACTAGAGACTAATACAACATTGTAAATTGACTATACTTCAGTTTAAAAATAATTTTTTTTAAATAAAAAAATAAAACAAGGCAGATCTCATGGTAAGTATTCTTATCACACACATACACACAAAGGGACACAAGGAAACTTTCAGAGATGAGGGATATATTTATTACGTGGGTTCTGGTAATAGTAATAGGAGTGTAATACATATGTCCAAACTCACCAAATTGCATATATTAATTATACGCAGTTTTCTTTATACCATTTATATCTCAATAAAGTTAGAGAAAAAATTTTTTTAAATTATAACTAAATAAATCATCTGTAGCCATTCAAAGGGTTGAAACTCCTTGTGGCAGATATGGGTTTCCTTGATTTTTGTGGAATACTTTTCAAGACCCAGGGGCTCCCCAGTTGTCTCATAGCCATTCTTTATTCTTCATGCATCCAAAAGGCCCTTAACTCTGAGGACTGTGTATCTTATGCTTCAGGAGCCTAGGAGCAAGAAAGCAGCAGCGGAGGAACAGTTAGTACAAGAGGTGGAACGCCTTAAGGCAAAGGTAGAGGCCGGGAAAGCCTGTTTCTTAGAGAAGTACAAAGAGTGTCAACGGCTCCACAGACAGATCAGGCAGCTCAGGGCTGCCGCACGGGTAGGTGACAGATGAGGGGCCCAGGAAGCAAGGGGTGTGAAGGTGTGTGGTTCCTGGACCAAGCCCGGAGGATTGCACACCCCTGTTAAGGAGAGGAATTTATCTTTCTGCCAAAAAGAGGAGGGATGGAGTGTGCGGCCAAAAACCAGCCTGGGGATACCCAGAAATAGAGACCCCCAGCTCAGCCATGGGTCTCAGGGAAGGTTTTTGTAACTGCAGGTTTCTGTGCAGACTCAGATAGTCCTTTCTTATTTCTGCCTTTTGAGGAAGTGAAGCAGGACCAGAAGAGCCAGCAGGAGCCAATGGGGATGGGGAGCCAGGAGCCTGCAGTCAGCACTGTCATCGGGTAGCCCCTCTGGCATTGCTACCTCAGGGGAGGCTAGAAGCGCACAGCAGTTTGGGCACCAGCATTCAAATAAAAATCTTGGAAAAAAACACCACAACCAGTAGGATTAGCTTAAGTGTTTTTGTGAGGTATGCGCATGTGTCCGTATGTAGGCAGGAGACGGGAAGCGCTGAAGCATGCCTGTGAGTTTTGGGTCCGTGAAACTAGTCAGTGAACCCATCATACTGGGGAGCCCAGGACCCTAGTCTGGGTTCCTTGTGGCCTTGGATAAACGCCTCCCAGAATTCCTTCTTCCTCCATGTCACTTGAATCCAGCTGCGTATCCTCACACCGGGAGGGAGTCACACCAGCTTGACTCACTGCTTCATGCTGCACTGAGTGAAATGTTTATTCAAGACAAAGCTGATTGTTTCCATGGTTGGGTGGGGTTAAACAAAGCTCCATTTATCCCTAATTATGATAAGTCAGCCTTGAGGTTTTCCCCAAGCTAATTTTTTCTCTCTGGTCACTTAACTCCCAGCTAAACCAAAAGAAACTGGCATCTCGATGCCAGCCCAAGCCTTCAGGCATTTCATTAAATCACTTTTCTGTAAGTCAGCATCTCCTCATGGTGCAGCTCCTCCCTACCCGAGTTCGCGTCTCCCCCGCCTCAGTCCCGCCACTTTGGAAAGCCAGATCCTCTACAAACTCCTTGTCTTACCCCACCTTGATCCAGACTACAATATGTGATCTTAATCCTAATGATTTTTTTTATTGGCAGGACCAGAACTTGGACCTGTCAAAGAGACTGAGTGAGAACAAGATTCTATACGATGGTCTGCAGAGAGAGAAAGAGACAATAGAAAAAAAAAATGAAGTAAGCGTGTAAAAGACGGTAGAAAATCCCAAGGTTTTAACGGGAAGGAGCCGGGTGACCCAGAGACGTGATGATAAAATAAAAAGTTAAATAAAAGAGCCCTTTCTGCTACAGCTCCTAAACAAAGAGCAAACTGAATCTGGTTTCCTAATCTGCCGCAAAACCCACTCTTTGTTCTATAACTAAAACTTGTTTGGCATGGCAGTAGTCAACTTGAAAGGAACAGCCTTGATGAAGACCTAACTTATTATTTTTGCTTTTAACTTGACAGCTCTTGTAAGTACTGTCTTTGGGGAGTAACATCCTACACCACTTTTATGCTAACTGAGGGATCTGTTTCCTTCAGCACAACTTACTTTCTTTTTCCCTGCTGCCAAACCAGAAGCAGAAGTGGTGGTCTGTACAAGAGCTGGACCCATGGTAGGCCCCAGATAAATACTATGCATTCATTCACTCATCAGTTCATTCATTCATCCAACCAGTGTATTTTCCTGCTGTGTGCTCAACACAAGTTACTGATTAATTGAGGATCGCAGCAGCAAATAAACAGGTTGAACTTGAAGTCACTCTCACACTCTTGTTAGCATCCAACAGTAGGTGCCCGTGCATTCTGACTGTTCCTTTGATCTACACCTCCAGCCATTCTCCATCTCCACCCTCTCCGTCACCCTTCTGGGCTAAGCCCTCAAATGATCATTTCTATTTTTGATAATATCATTTACGCCAGTGTGTTTCAGTTTTGTAGAAGGCCTTTGGGGTCTATTTCTGGTCCTGTCATTGTCATCCTTTTTATTTAGTTAAGTGACCTTGACTTTGAAATCGTCTGATGGTGCCAGGGGGCTGGGAGGCGGGGCAGAAGAGGGAGAAGGAAGAATGTACACAATTTGCAACAAGAAGAAAAAGATCCGATATTTGGAAGCTTTGTTGAGAACTATAGTAAAGCCCTCTTAAGATGTTAAGGGGAAGTTTACTAATTTTCTTTCTTCTAAGATCTTTAAACATAGTCTACCCCCCTTGTAGCTTGTCCTCTTTCACTCTTTCTCTCTCACCTTCCCTCCGTCTCTTTCTTCTTCCCTTTCACTCTCAGCATATCCATTTGATGGGATAAAACATGAAGAAGGGAAAATTATATCAGGTGAATATTCACATTGTGTAAGAAAATTGTTCTTGGAAAGAGACTAAAAGCATTCTGAGGAGGGAGGGTATAGCTCAGTGGTGGAGCACATGCTTAGCATGCATGAGGTCCTGGGTTCAATCCCCAGACCTCCACATAAAAATTAAAAAATGAATAATTAAAAAAAATTTTTTAAAGCAGCATTCTGCTCTCCATACTGTACAACAGTTTCCATCTTAATATAGCCCCTGCCACCCTCACATACCCACACAACTTTTGTACCCCCCTTCAGTTGGTTTATATTTAAAGATTTTAGTTTCTTTTTTGCATTAATTCTAAAGAAATTCAATATACTTTTAAATTTAGATATTAAGAACTCAGATCTTTGAATATTGAGGCTGCTGCTTCCGCTTTTTAAGAATTGTGATTTATCATTTGCTGGGCTCTCCAGTGCCACGTGGTTAATTAAACACTACCTAGAAGGGCCGTCCCTGGCCAGTCCGTGTGGCCATTCTTTGCTGTTGTCTTTCAGCGTGTCTGTAAATACTCTATCCTCTCTATCCTAGCTTTTGAAGAGCGAGAACAACAGATTGCTGAGTTACATGGGTCTGAATTATGACCCTTTACCGTATCAAGCGCCTACTTCAAGTCAAGGAGGTGCAAGACAAAACCCAGGACTTGTCTATGGAAACCCGTATTCTGGTAAGACAACTTTACCATCGAGCTGAAAGGCCCCTGCTTGTATCCCTTTCCCCTACTAAATTTTGTTTTTGTCTGAGATGCTAATTAAGACCAGTCTCATTGTTAATACTTGCTGGGCAGAAGCTGAGTACCCAATAGAAAAATTGCTGGGCAAGTAGTGTTAATTGAGAAATAAATCTGAATCTAGGAGACGCAAATCAGATCATTGGCCTAGAGGCAGCAGACACAAATTGAGTCCCGTGGCTATATTCCAAATATATAAATCAGAGAAATGTCTCTGTGTAGAAGATATACACATACAAAGCTGAGGAAGCTAATTAAGATTTGGAAATGGAAGCGCGAGCGGCGGGATATGCTGCCCAGGAATGGGCTGTTACAGGCAGCCGCCCCGATGGCCTGACCAAGGGTAGAAGGCGTGTGCCCCCCGGAGACCCCTGGGGGGCTTGGAGGACAGGAAATGGGGGTGACACCCAGTCTTGTCATTCAAGGAACTGGGGGTCAGATATCCCTGCCAAACAGGGAACTTTCCTCTTTTTTTGTCTCCAGAAGTGATCTGAGACCTCATTTGCTTTTTTCTGGACAGTTTAAAGCAGGCGTGTTCTCTTAACAGTCACAATCAGGTCTTTGCAACAGGCGGGGGTACAAGTTTATTTTTTTCCTTAAAAATATTTTTAAGCTTTTCATTTGAAACATAACTGTTTGCCTGGATTCGGTCTTAAAATCTATTCCCAGTCTACTTCCTTGTTAAATTGTTACTGTTTTCACTAAAATCTCATTTTCTCTACACTGCATATAGGTTTATTGTTCTTGCTGATTATATAATGGCTATTGAAAATGCCACTTCATTATTTTTTCCCTCCATCGTTGACCTAGATCCCCTCCACCGAAGTCAGTGGTGTTTATGAGAGATAGAGAATATGGCAGTATCAGAGAGGGATAAAGAACTGGGAGGGGAACAGTGAGGGTTACAGAAAACAGCTGCTAGCACACAGTTGGAGAACGTGTTCTGGGGATGATATTTTTTCATTGAATGAAATCTTCTTTATTACCCTCAGGTATCCAAGAAAGCTCTGCCCCTAACCTGGTAAGTATTTGATTCGTAAGACTGCCCACATCAAATCTTTGAGAAAATTTCCCTTCCTGCTCCATCCAGTTCATGGGAGAACCATGCATGGGGAGACTGGTTCATTTTGATAACTCCAGACTGAGTCAGCTGGATCAGTTTGATCAGTGCCTAAATCGGAGAGAGCCTGTTGAGGTGGGGGATGCACAATTCATCATCCATCAGCATTCTGCTCACGACCTGCACCTGTGAGTTGAGTTGAGTAGCAGGCCTCGGGAGGCCATGTGAACCGGGCAGGTAGCCAAACAAGGTATAGCCCATGACCCATTCAGGCTGCAAGTTATCTGGCTACTTCAGCAATATTAAGTCCTTTGAGTCTTTGAGTTAGAGAAAGCCCCAGTGAATGTCTCCAGATGTGACTTTGTTGATTCATCCTCTAATTCTTGATCACCCACCATCTGCAAGCATTACGATAGGTGCTGAGGACATAGTAGAAAATCAGACACGGTCTCTGCCGAGTATAGCTTACATTCAGACTGACCTCTTTGCTCTTCCTCCCAGCTCTCCATCGAGCCATGCCCCACCTGCACAGCAGACTTTGCTGATGACATTTTTGATCACACCTTGGAGCAGCACAAGCCAGCTGTTTATTTGAATTGTCCAATTTGTGGCAAGACCTTCCCAGCAAAAGAGAAGCAGATCTTTGAAGACCACGTGTTCTGCCACGCTCTATAAGTGTCCCAGCCTCTTGGATCTACACTGTACATGGATTTTTATAGAGTAGAACCTATAGCTTCTGCTATGAGTTATGCCCAAGATCCTGCCTAACCTGAATTATTAGGGATTTATTTAGTCCTGCTGCCCTATAGGTGGAGCCATGTCGATTACCTGAAGCATAGTGTTGAGGGCTGTTACTTCCATCCTGTGGGTAACTACCTTTTAAATCGCTTAACTCTGGCTGTGTCAGCCTGTCACCTAAAGTGCCCATTCTTCTGAGCATCTCCAGTATAAGGGCCCTGGGATGGAACTGACCTGGCTATTCACTCCAGTACTACGTGATTAGTTTTCCAAGTTGTCCCACTCCATTCAAGGTCAGGCCTTGTACTCAGTCGTCAGTTCTCACTCTGGGATTGGCGATTGATCAGAGGTTAAGAATTTCTTCCTCCTCCTCCTCCAGCCTCTTTTTCTAACTCATAGTGTTAGAGTAGCCAAAAATGGTATGCCAGAGAACTCAGTTATCTAGTTTGGATACCAGAGGTTTCTCATCTTGATTTCTTAGCTCCCAACAGAAGCATCGTATCCCTGAACCATGGGCATGAAAAATTATTTCAGTCCCAGAAAGTCTTCTTTCTCTCTGGATACCTCTGATTGGCATTTTCTACCCTGATTTTCCTTGTGCACATAACTTTTATTGTTATAAGTCCTTTCTTAATGGTTAGTAGGACTTTGTTAGAAACTGTATGGGTTTGCAACTTTCTGAGCAGGTGAGTTTAAATATGAGTAAGTCAGAATAATGAGAACTATTGTTAACCACTTTAATACTAAAAAATAAACTAGTCCTCTACTTCAGGGACTTTGATAATTTAAAATAAACCTTGACTTTATGGTTTTTTTCATTTTTAAGCTTATGGGGAAAGTGTAATCAAAAGGAATGTGGGAATTACAGACCCCGCCAGTGATTTCTATCCACCTGTCTTAACCAGTCAGTGAAAGTGTGTCCTGGCTGTTATTTTGAGGTGGAGAGGGAGTTTGAGAAATCTGGAGCCCTGACTTCTTGGTCTAACTTCCTGTGCATTTTTGAAAGGGAGTGGATTTTGGCATCTTTTGTGAACTAAGTTCGATTCCCTCCATCCAGCTTTGCCTAACCGAACTATAAGAAAGCAGTTCCATTTTCTATACCCCAGGGACTGAACAAATGGAATTGACTCCCAGGCAATCAACCAGTCACTATAGAGACTTTTACAAAAACTTTTGAATGATTTGAAACATGATGTTGTGAATCAGGTGGAGCCAACTATAGCTCTATATTCCTTCTGGGGTTTTCCCTGATGTGACTGGCATTATACCTTAGATGGACTATATTGTTCTAGTCACAGCTCCTCGCCTTTATTTCTCCTTTAATAAACTGAAGATAAAGCTATACTCCTTCTCCTCCTGTATCTCCATTCCAATGAGATGTCTCTTGGACTCATAAGCCTCTGTCCCTTTAGAATCAAATGTGACATTAAGACAAATTCTAGAATAGAAATATAATGGGAAGACAGTAATGCAGTTTCTCTGGCAGATACCTTCCTCCCTGCAATTTTTCTGTTGCTCCCCAGATAATTCCAGTGAAGAATTGCAGTTTCATTTATTTTGTACTAGTCAGCTCTTAATTAAGCACATGAATGGAGAGGAGCAGTGGTGCGCATAATCCAAATCGGTGAATACCATTTTCTAGTGAATTACCCACACCCCTTTGCCCCTGCTACCCCGAGGGTTACCGTGATTATCAGCAGCAGCAGGAGCACTTCCACAGACTTGGTAAGAAAACAGTCGAGGTGTTAATGAGCCTTTTTGCTGGATGTAAAGCAAAGCATCTTTAACCATTGTTCATTATTCCCAGCTGCTCTTACGAAGGCTTTGAAGGGGACATTATGCACCAGGCAGCTTCCAGTGGTAAAGAAAATAATCCTTCTTAAATAATCCAGTCCTCAGCCTAGTCTTTTGCTTCTATATCCCTTGTACCCACAGATTTTACAGCTGTAAAACACCTGCAAAAAAATAGGTTGTGGGAGCAAAATGGTATTTATATCTAAATTGAATTTGAGAATCTTTGTACTTGCTATGGCAACTTTTCCTTCCTGATTCATTTTCTCTTTCCTAATATTAAAGTGTCTTTGCATTACCTTTGCACACTTATTTGCTAAGCAGTAGGAAAACAGTCACCCGGCACACGTGAGTGTGAATGAGTGGTGAAGGTGAACACTAACCTAAAATCAGAGAAGGGAGAGCTGGCAGGATAGTAAACCTAGGCCCCTAAGAACACCTGTAGCTTCAGCCCTTTTCCCTCATCTTGTTAAAAAATGGGATGAAATGAAACTGCCTTGATGTTTAATCATTCTCCTATGATTCGAGTGATTTTTCTACAGTGGATGGCACTGAGCTAAGCATACTCTAACCTGGTCTCCTAGCAACAACTGTTAATGAGATGATAGGCCGGGCTAAAAGATGCAGTCCATTACCTAGGAAAAAAAGGCAAATGGACTCAACGTAGGGATCAAACCCGAAGAGGTACTCACCTAAGTCCCCTGAGTTAACTGATAACACCTTACACTGGCTCCAGTGTTCTCCTTAATTGATCTCATATAAATATTAAAATAATGTCTACATGCATGTGGTAAAGCGCCGCTTTACCGTTTATTTCATATTATTTCATATGCTCCGTGTGTACTTTCAGTAATCCTTTGAAATAGACAGTTATTAACTCCCATTTTTATAGATAAGTAAGTTGAAACATGGAGAAATAACTTGCTAAAAGTTGAAACAACCCAAATGGTCATCAATTGATGAATGGGTAAATAAAATGCAGTATATATATATACACACACAGTGGGATACATGTATATATGTATACACTATGGGATATTATTTGGCAAAAGAAATGAAGTACTGATATATATGTTACAGCATGGATGAACCTTGAAAATATGCTAAGTGAAAAAAGCCAGTCACAAAAGACTGCATATTGTATGATTCCATTTGTATGAAATGTCCAGAATAGGCAAATATTTTGTTAAAATAAAATAGATAAGTGTTTTCCTAGGGCTGGGTGTTGAAGGAAACAGAAGGTGACTATTAATGGGTATGGAGTTTCTTTTTGGGGCTAAAAAAAGTTCTAAAATTTATTGTGGAGATGATTGCACAGCTCTGTGAATATACTAAAAACCACTGAATTATACACTCAAAATGAATGGATTTTATGCTATGTGAATTACAGCTCAAGTTGTCATGTTTTCAAAACATTTTTAAAAATAACTTGCTAAGGTCATATATACATTGGCTCATGATAAGATGTCTTTTTTTTTTTTTTGATAAGGTGTCTTAAATACAGCTACAGAGCAAGTTAACACTGTTGACCTTGGTTAGAACACACTTAGTACAACCCCTGCCTCCACAGTATCTTGGGTTGGAGGCAGCGCTTCCATTGTAATTATCAGGGTCGGGCCAATTAATGGGAGCCCACCATTTGGCCGGCAGCATTAGTGGCCTCTGGGAATATCTATTCTGTGGAGATGAATGTACCCAATAAAGTCGGGGGAAATAGTCACCAGCCCACAAATCCCAGGTAATCATATTAAGGGATCCAGCCTGCTCTGCCTAATATTATTACTTTCTCCCTGTGGAAAGAAAGATTATGACACTCCAGAGGACCAAGTCTATTGTTTACCCAGTCAGTCAACATTTACCCAGCACCCACCAGGTGCAGAGCTAGTATCAGGCCAGCATTTAAAAAAATAGAAGACATGTTCTTCCCTCGAGGGATCTACAAGGTTAATGAAGACATTCTCTCTGCCCTCAGTGAGTCCTCAAACTGCTGGGGGAGAGTCTCAGGTTTCAGGGGTCTCCTACACCACTGGGGAACAAAGACAAGCACCCACAAGAGCAATTTAAGGATATACAGATAAGTCATCTTGCAAACTGAAGACATAAGGGCTATGAGACCTGGGTGTCAACTGAGGTGCGGTCAAAGCCCAAGTTAGCATCGTCTTAGAAGAGAGTGCTTTGGAAGAGGCCAAGGGACAGAAATGGCAGATAAAAATGGGGAACGCATCCTGAGGGTCTCTACAAACCAGGGAAGAGAAGTGGGTCCAAATGCCAAGGACTTTAAAGCAAAAGCACTGGCATATAAAAAGAAACCAGTTTCTGTCCTGAAAGACACTACAATCTAGTTGAATCACACCAGCGATCTGATTTGAGCTCAGAAGGGACAGGAACACGGGTGGCTGAAGGGCGGTGGTCACAAGGATATAGGAGTGTCTCAGAGGCCCCAGGCTTCAGGGCTTCCAGTCCCGGGGCTAGAACACCGTGTCACACAGAGACGCATCCCTTACCATCTCTCATCCTGCTGCTCTGCCTCGGAGTCAAAACTTCTCTTTCACTCTAGGCTGGCTCTACCTCCCAGACCACAGGAAGTTAAATGGTTGCTGCCTGTAGCTCTGAATTTTTAAGCTACTCTGCTAAAAGCAAAAACAAACCAAAAAACAAAAAACAAAACAGTTGTGAAAGGACAGGATGGGAATCTCAGTCCAACTCTAGATTCCCTGAGGAAGGGACTCCTTGGCCCTGCTAGGGTAGACAAGTGCCCACATCTTGTTCAATCAACTATGGCCAGAGGATATGGTCACCCTGCAGTAACGTGGCTGCTCTAAGCCACAGTGAGACTGGGGAGGGTTGGGTGTGGAGAGAGGAAATTACCACGGAAGACAGTGTGAACTGAGTGTACAACAGATAATTGCAATAAAACAAAAAATGCTGGGGATAGGGGAGTAGGATTTGAATCTGATATTAAAAGATGAGTGGCCCTTAGGTGAAGAAAATTGAGGAGGATGCCATAAAAAGGCACAGGACGGAATACTACCCAGCAACAAAAGGGAACAAATCTGGTACATGCAATAACTTGACTGAAATCTCCAGGGAATTATGCTAAATTTGAAAGCATCTTAAATTATACTACATATTCTATTTAGTTAACACTCTTGAAATTTCAAAATTATAGAAATAGGGACGGGGGAGGGTACAGCTCAGTGGTAGAGCACATGCCTAGCATGCATGAGGTCCTGGGTTCAAGCCCCAGTACCTCCATTAAATAAATAGATAAATAAACCTAATTACCTCCCCCCGTACAAAAAAAAAAGATTAATTAGAAATAGGGAGAAGAGATTAGTGATGCTAAGGGTTAGGTAGAGGCAAGGGGAGGGAGAAGAGAGGGGGTGCGGTATGAAGGCTATGCCAGGAAGGGGTCCTTGTGCTCTATCTTGACTATGGTGGTGGATCCACAAACTACAAGTGATAAAAATGCATTAAGCCAAACACATAATGAGAACCAGAAAAATTAGAACTCTGAGTAAGATTGGTGAATTGTATCCATGTTGATATCCTGGTCATATTAGTGTACCAAAGTTTTCTAAGATGTTACCATTGGAGGAAGCTGCATTAAAGGTGCATAGGATCTCTATTATTTTTTACAACTGCACATTTATCTACAATTACCTCAAAATTAAAAATTGATTTAAAAACAAAGCAGGATTGTTGCAGCCACTATGGAAAAAAGTATGGGGTTCCTTAAAAAAACTAAAAATAGAGTTACTATCACTCCTAGGCATATATCTGGAGAAAACACTAATTCAAAATGATACATGCACCCCAGCATTGATAGCAGCACTATTTACAAAATAGCCAAGACACGGAAGCAAACTAAATGTCCATCGACAAATGATTAGATAAAGAATTTGTGGTATATTCAGTGGAATACTACTCAGTCATAAAAAAGAATGAAATAATGCCATTTGTAGCAACATGGGTGGACCTGGAGATTATCATATTAAGTGAAGCAAGTCAGAGAAAGAGAAATATCATATATCACTTATATGTGGAATCTAAAAAAAAATGGCACAAGTGAACTTATTTACAAAACAGAAAAAGACTCACAGACATAGAAAATAAATTTATGGTTACCAAGCTGGGGGGGAAGGAGAGGGGATAAATTGGGAGCTTGGGATTAGCAGATACAAACTATTATATATAAAACAGATAAATAACAAGGACCTACAGTACAGCACAGGGAACTATATTCAATTTCTTGTAATAAGCTATCATGGAATCTGAAAATATATGTATAAATATGTATATGTATAACTGAATTGCTCTGCTGTACACCTGAAACTAACATTGTAAATCAACTACACTTCAATTTTAAAAATTCAGTTAAAAACTAGATAAACAACGAGGACCTACTATATAGCACAGAGAACTATATTCAATAGCCTACAATAAAAAACAATATGAAAAGGGGGAGGGTATAGCTCAGTGGTAGAGCACGTGCTTAGGATGCATGAGGTCCTGGGTTCAATCCCCAGTACCTCCATTAAATAAGAAAATAAATACACTTAATTCCCTTCCCCCAAAAAACAAAAACAAAACAACAAACCTAGTGGGGCATAGAAGACTGCAAAGAAGGTTGAAGGCAGACTGAGAAGGGACTTGTACACCATTCTGAATACCATTCTGAGGAACAATCTGGATTTGGTCCTATTTTAGGCAATAGAGAGCTTTTATAATCTTTTAATGGAGAGTGATGTAGTCAAATTTATGTTTTAGAGTGATCTCTGTGGTTCTAGTTTGTAAAAAGCACCATGGAGGATGAACTGGATTTAGGGATAATAATCGGGCGAAGCGTGGAGGAAGGAAGCGTGGAAGGAGGAGACCACTGCGGTGCTTCAGGAGAACGCAGCGAGGGCCTGGATCAGACAGTGGAGATGCACAAGGGAGGAAATCAGAGCTAATTTCGAGCTGAAATCAACAGGATTTTTGTGATCAATTAAATGCCAAAGAATGAGGCTTTATGAGTTTTCACAAGTTAACACCAACTGGGTGCCGTAAAGCAACAGAAAGTTATTCTTTCACAGTGGCCGATTCTGGAGGCCCTTAGAAGTTCAAAACCAAGGTGTTGGCGGGGCTGCATTCCCTCCCGAGGCTGTAGGGGACAGTCTGTTCTTTCAGTGGCCGTTGGTGTCCCTTGAC